ATAATAATTGAATTATTTATCTTTTTTCGGTATGGGTAATACTAGCATTAATTTCAACTAGAACTGTCTAAACGGGACAAAATATCCACCCCCCCCCCCCCCCCCGGTTTTTCAGAAGTAAGTTTTCCATAATAAAGAAATGTATCACACATGAATTATGAAATTTTTCTTCCAGTGACCTTGAACTTCCCCATATGACCTTGGGTCAAGGTCATGACAAACCCTTGGGTCATGGGCAATCTTTGTGTGAAATGAGAACCTACCAAGTTTATCCATAAGAAAGATATGGACCAGACATGAATTATGAATTTTACTTCCAGTGACCTTGAACTTCTCCAAATGACCTTGGGTCAAGGTCATGACACACCCTTAGGTCATGGGCAATCTTTGCGTGAAATGAGAACCTACCAAGTTTATCCATAAGAAAGATATGGACAGGACATGAATTATGAACTTTTTCTTCCAGTGACCTTGAACTTCCCCAAATGACCTTGGGCCAAGGTCATGACACACCCTTGGGTCATGGGCAATATTTGCGTGAAATGAGAATCTACCAAGTTTATCCATAAGAAAGATATGGACTGGACACGAATTACGAACTTTTTCTTCCAGTGACCTTGAACTTCCCCAAATGATCTTGGGTCAAGGGCAATCTTTGTGTGAAATAAGAACCTACCAAGTTTATTCATAAGAAAGGTATGGACCTGACACGAATTATGAACTTTTTCTTCCAGTGGACCTTGAACTTCCCCAAATGACCTTGGTCAAGGTCATGACACACCCTTAGGTCATGGGCAATCTTTGTGTGGAGTGGTAGATTCTAATGTCCCTCCGTAAGAAAGATATGGACCGGTCAGGTTTGCACAGACAGACGGACGGACGGACAGACGGACAAGGTGATTCCTATATACCCCCCCGAAACTTCGTTTACGGGGGGTATAATAATTGAATTATTTATCTTTGACTGAAAACTACACATTAAGTGTCTGGATGTAAATTTATGTGAAATAGTTATATATGATAGTGTCATATATACTTATTTTAATATTTTGAATTATCTTGTTTACATGTTTTATAGAATTTTACATGATATTTTTTCCAAGTTTAATTGGTATGTCACTTAAATTTGCAGCTTAATGACCATAATACCAGATGAGTAGTTAAATATAGAAGAATTGATTTTAAAATGATTTGCCTGATACTGGTACATCCATAAAAATAAATTCCAAAACAGAATTTCCTGATAAGGCCATCTTTTAAAAAATTGTTTTGTTGCCCTCTCCAAACCGACTGACTAAGAATGAGAGAGACTTTTTTTTAATTCCAGATCATATTTTTTTTCCCTTTTATTTCATTTTGCCATCAATAAATATGTTGAATTTACTGGGGGGAAAAGATTTCCCCACCTACCTATCGACGTAATAATTTTACCCTGAGTCGGGAAAGGGCAAGCAAACATTCATTTAAACATGGTGGCTAATAAGATTGTTGATTACTTATGCAGTCATAAAAACTTTAAAAGGCAATGCATCACAAATTCTTCAAAATTATTAGTACATAATCTTCACATGGTTGAAAGTACTGTAATCCAACTATTTTACTCACGATTTGTCAGTTTGAAATCAATCAAGGACAATTAATTTTCATGACTGAGGTAATATATGTACAAATACAAAGCAAACGAATAGGTAATAAAAGATTACCAAAGCTCATCTCGACAAATGCTATCAGTTTAAATAATGCATATTTTATAGTTAGTATACACCCTGACAACAATATTCATCAAAGTACTAGCTGTTTCAGTATCTCTTTTTCACTGGGAATTGACATTGACATCTATCCAAAATCTTAAACCTATTCATTAATCAAGAAAATGTCTTTTACTTCCTACATCTGAAGCAAATCTGAAATTGTCCTTTAGATGCATCATCCATGCAATTTACATCTTAACAGGTCATAAAATTACAGAGCTACTAAAATAACATTACCCTGCATTGTCACTCATCTGGAAAATGTAGGCCAGGATCCAGCATCTGAAGCAAATCTGGTAGTATCCATCCCTAGATGCATCATCCATACAAGTTTGATTCAGGTAAGACTTTCAGTTACTTTGGAATGGACCTGCTCCAAAAGCTTTAGACAGGTCATTCATCTGGAAAATGTAGGTCAGATCCAGCATCCGAAGCATGTACATTAGTGTCCATCCCTCATATGCATCCATGAAATTTGGTCCAGATACATGTAGGGCTTATAGTTACTTGGGAATGGACTTGCTCCCAAAACATTTATCAGAACAGAACATTTTACCAGTACGCTAACGCCAAAGCCAGCATCAGGTTTTCCAGCAATTAATATGCACGAGATACAGGAGGTATATTTATACATAGCAAAACTAGCAGATATTTTTCGCTTGCAAATAAAAGGTGGTTTACAGTACTGCATGTAGATGTTATACAAGAACTTCTTTTACCCTAGATAGTTTTTTTAACTGCTGGCAGTTTAGTTTCTCAAAAAACTTTAATTAATACACTTGTTCCAATTGATTTTTTACATGTGAATTTAAAGAAAATCAAAACTGAATTTTTTTCAATGTTTTTAATCTAAAATGCACATGTATATTATAATGTAAATGTACATGTAAACCAAACTCATATGACATCGTTCAAGATTGAACATACCCACATTATAATGATGATTAACAATCTATTAAATGATCGAACTGCTGTTATAATATCAGTATGTCTCTTACAGAATGTCATTGTGGCATTTATACCAGTAGTTGGTTAAAGCACATGATTATTGAGTACAAATGTAAAATGAAAATCCAACAATACATGAATCAACATAAAGATTTGTCAACGAGAAAAAAAAATGATTTTTTTTTATGATGAAAAATATTGAACAATCACAGAATGCAAATACAAGGCAGTCAAAAATTAATCATTAAGATAACCATGGGTCAATGATCCACAACACTCACATTTTTTTGCTGATTTTTTTTACTATAAGAAATGTTGGACCAACCTTTATACCTGAACCTTTAAATGGTTCATGTGAGCAAAAATATTTTTCAAATACCATTTTTCAACTTTTTTTTTTTTTTTTGAACAGGAAGGAGAAGGGGTATAATTGAACATAATATTAAGAAAAAGTTTGCATTTGAATATTATCACATTAAACATGATATGTACACTATACAATAAAGGGAAACCTTCGATATTTGAGGAAGCTTATTGAAATCCAGTGGATTTTATCTGAGAGGATGGAACAAATCTTTGACTAACCTTTAATTCCTTTCATGCAAAGAGAAAAAAAATAAAAGCATGACACAATACTCAACTTACTAAAAAAAATTGCACTCTCTCATTCATTCCAATTAATAGAAAATAATGCAAATCTTATTGTTCCATCCTCTCAGATAACCTTCCTCAGCCATTGTTATTTGGCTGTGCTTTTCTCTACAAGGTTGGTTCTTACAGTCCCTTTGATGTTCTTCCTACAGATTGGACATTTGGTGAGGGCTGGGGCACACTGGGGGCAGGACACCAGGTGACCGCAGGGCAGGAATACAATGGAGACTTTCTCGTCCAGGCAGATCTTACAGATGGTCAGGTCCTTCAACTCCTTATTCTCCTGCTTCAGCGTGTTAGGATCAGCTATAAATAAGAAATTATCTCAATGCTGGAAAATTCATCTGTCTTCCAGTTTTAAATATTGATGAATGTCCTTATTTTGTGAAAGTTTCAGAAAGCCTTCGGTAAAGATTTTTTTCCCACTGTGTTGATTAATATTATTAACCATGTTAACATTGTCCAAATTCAATTAAATGAAGCTGTGGGCAAGCAAAAGAAAGTAAAGTTAACCAAACAGAAACTTATATACATGATTCTTTCTAATCATTCTTTCTAATCAATCTGTGTTTAATATTTAACATTTCCTGCACATGTACCTTGTGCCGGAACCAGAGTTTGATACAATCTAAGTCATTGTTTTGAACAGTTGTTTATGAACAACTTGGTTACCCAGGTAATGTATACATAAAGTGTCCCAATATCATATGATACAATTTTTAAAAGATACTTTGACTCATATTAAATACAGATAAATAAGTATTTACCATTAGAAGCTGAAGATGCTGACTTGCGGTTCTCCTCGTGGATCTTTAGATACTTCCTGATATTTTCTTTAGTGAATGCACCCCAACCTAAGTAAACATAAATTAGATTTATAACACAAAACAGGGCCCAAGATTAAAAAGTCATCTAAAAAAGACAATATAAGATATTGCATGCACATTAAAACATTCATATGAATATCTTTTTGGGAATACATGGGGAAGATTAGAGGCACACAGGTTTTGTTATTTCTACAACTACAGGAAGTGATTCTATTGAGAAAACCATCACATATCAAGGGACCTGTGATGATTCCTCTGAATTTCTAAAAGGGTGCATGTTGTTCATTTTTCTTTTAATATCTTGGAATTTTCAACAGGCAACTTCTTTTTTTTTTTTTATAACAATTGCTTATTTTCCACAAAAAAAAAATGAACTTCGGGTTAGAAGAAAAAGATTGAAGTGAGAAGTGGGGTGATCTAGTAATGAGAAACTGCATAATTTCAAATTGAACAAATTACTGGTAAGTTATCGTTATCTACATTTACTGATAATTTACTGACAATATCCCACATGATGCTTACTTATAGTTATCTATTAATGAGTGACCTGATTTTATTCATATATTGCCTGTTTTCTTTAAAAAAAAAATCAAAATAAATATTTGTCATAGACATCAGAAAAGTCAATCTTGTATACATATTTTCCATAATTACAGATAATAAGTAATGTCAGGTAACTCTACTGAGAAATTATGGCACACAGAGAGAAATTTTGTTTTTCAAACATGATTATATAAAGACAAACACACACATATATGTATAATAAAAATATAAGACAAAAGAGTTCAGCAGCAGTACAAAGTAATACACTTTCAAAACACAGAAATCAGAAAATATTTTTTTAATCATATACGATACCTGTAATATGTATATTTTTTTTTTTAATAATAATGACATTCAAACTTATCAGCTTTTAAAGATATTTTCATATTTAAATCAAAAAGGCTTACAAAAAGAAAAGGAAATGCAAAAAAGCATCAAGAAATAAGAAGTTCAACTGCTAAGTAAGCATCAATGAGTATTGTTTCCTATAGGAATCCTTTAAAACCTTGTTTCTCATTAGAGGACCACATTCTTACGTGACTGTGGCAATTACTCCTGCATTGCTTTCAGCCCTCTTAAGCCTATATACACAAGATTTGGAAGCATTCAAAGAAACAGGTATGGCCTACACAGTACACATTAACAGTAACACTTCTAAAGCTTGCAGGAAGGTATTTGGAAAGTATATTGAAGATTTGTTTTTTAGCTTTGTGGATTAATCATGGCAACAGTGTACGTTAATAAGGACAGAATTTTAGAAAAATTGTAAACAGTGGTTTTAGAACATAACATAAGATGAAACAAAAACAGTTTCTACTTAAGGTTAGTCATCCATTGACTGTGAGACAATTAATTAAATGACTAACGATGTCATGTAATCCACATGTATTGGCATTGAAAACTTAAAAAATGTTGCATTTTTAGAGTTGATCGACTATATCTCAAACACTGATTAAAAGCAACATTAAATAAAGTTAACAATGACCTCACTATTTAGGAGTCATATTATCAATTCTATACACAGTGAGTGGATGGTCTACCTTAACTAAGAACTATACTGCATTCCATTACGTAGAATTATGAACACAAAAAAAAAAATTACAGTTAAAAAAGTAATTGAACAGTGATTAATATGAAGACTTAACCAATTACAACTTTGCTAAAATCTCAAAAGTACACTAGCAATTATAAGCTCTATTAAGGAAGCAAATGAACAAAACATTTAAGATACTGACCCTCTGCCTTTACG